TCAATGGACCATTTGTATATTTTACGTTGCAAAGAAAAATGAACAGAATGGGTGCCGGTTGTTGCTTACTTTCTATATCGGGCTCTTCGTGAACTTAAAGAAACCATCAAATTCTTGGCTACACAAATCTGACATTCAGCGGTCTCTGCTCATCCTATTCACACCTACATGTGATTCGTATTCAAGCCCATATATCATAATATAAAAATACCTCAATGCATGCATACCAGTACTAAAGCATAAAAAAGATAGTTTTGAGAGAGGGAAAATTAACATAACAGATTATTTAGGGATAACCTCACCTGCGGACCGGATATGGGATCCTTAATGATCATATAATTTCAAATGGGAATTCGTCGTGTATATAGCAAATGAAGCGTGAACTGAAAAGCTAGGGAGCACTGGACAGCTGTTCCGACCTGGCAGGGTCTCATCACCATTGAGCGAATCCATCGACACAACTGGGGATCGAACCCGGGACCTCATGGGCAGAACGCAAGCATGCTACACACGGTCAGGGAAATCATCGAATACCTGTGTGGTTGTGTGCGAAGTAACATTGTTGAGGTGAACCCTCCTTTGGAGATGCTAAAATACCTGCTTTATTTTTTCACAAACAGTTTAATTTAGGTTCAACGATCAGATTTATCGACAAAAGGATGGTGTGGTTATGGGATCACCGCTAGGGGGGACTGTTGTTTGTTGATGTGTTCATGGCTAAACTTGAAAATAACCGACTCAAATCGTCCATTCAGGTTTGTATGCTCAACACGATATCAAAAACAAACGAGCAAACAAGCTCAATACTGTTCATCAGAACATAAGAGTCATTTTAGAAATAGAAAACAACACCAAACTGGCATTTTTAGACGACTATCTGAGTTCAGTTTCAGTTTCAGTTTGAACAACCATTAACCATGCACTTTCGTGCGCCGGTGTTGATTGTTGTCTTTTGGCTGCCCATTTCGATGAATAATAGGGTAAGAAAGTTGAAGGTAGAGTCGAACAGAAAATGGAGTGGTCTAAGTTTGCAAAGAAATTGAGATGCAAGAATGCCACTGTTAACGACACCCAGCCATATCATTCACTGTCTCCCACCATCGGGTACGATCATCCCGAGGTCCCCATGGAGCCTAACGGGACCTATGTGACCCAGACTCCTGGTCAGGGTTTTTATACCCTCGTGCCAGGTCTTAGCTTAGCCATCCTTGACTTTCTTCCAATCGCTACCAGCCTTGGCAAACATCGCTCACCGTAGCAACCTATCTGGTGACATGCGTAACACATAAACCAACGTAATCCATGGAGGTCGATCACTTGCTCCAGTGGGCGACCGCGGTTACCTAAAACTCTGTGCCTAACCTAACTATTGCTTGTCCAGACTCGTGCTGTGTGGACAGTTCTGTTAAATATCGGCAGTCTATCTTGCTTTCTTAATGGCCAGATCTCTGCGCCATACAGCAGAACTGGCCGAATTGCCGTGGCATACACTCGACCCTTCACAGACAACCGGATGTCGCGACGGCGCCACAGAAGTCTCAAGTTGGCAAATGCCAACCGAGCCTTCTGTATGCGAGCAGACACTTCATCCATGATGCGTCCACAGAGTGAGTTGTAGTTGTTGTATTAAAACTTACCCACTTGCTCTATTACTTCCCCGGTTAAAGTGAGGCTCGGTGTTGGACCGACTCAGTCTTGTAGTGACATTTTGCACTTTGAAGGTGCAAAACGCATACCGAACATGGCTACACTGGCATTCAAGCTGTCCAAAAAGCATGCAACTTACCTGCATCTTCACTTAGTAGCACAATGTAGTCTGTATGCTCTAGATCAGACAGTCTACCACTTGGGAGTAAATCAATGCCACTTTCCTCGCACGAGGATAGAGCTGTTTCCATAATCAAATCTCTAACAAAGTTGAATAGAAAAAGAGAGAGAGGGCAACCCTGACGACCACTTTCTGTGGTGAACTCGGGCAAAAAGTGCCATTAGCCTTGACTCGAATTCGGCTATTAGTATAAAGCGATCGTAATATTAAAATATACTTCTCGGGCACCCTTCAGGGAAAGTTAGCGCCCGAGTTTAGAGCGGTTAACTGAGTCGAAGGCCGCTTTCAGGTCGAGGAAGACAGAGATGGTGGGTCTACGAAAGGAATGCCGATGCTCCAGAATTTGGTGGAGAATGAAGATGTGGTCGATACAACCTCGATCGGGTCTAAAACCAGCCTGGTTCTCACGCGTGCACCGTTCACGTGTGGCAGAAAACCGTCGAAGTATGATGCCAGTGAGACGTTTAGAGGTCATATTGATTAAACTAATTCCTCTGTGGTTTTCACAGGAGGACCTGTCGAGTTTTTTGTAAATCGGTATGATCACCGATTCACACCATTCAGTTGGAACCTCTTCCTTTTCCCACAATGAGCCCAGGAGTTTCGTTAATTCCAAAACCACGGCTGAATTTCCATCCTTAAAATCCGATAGGGACACCCCGTCGGGGCCGGAAGCTTCATGCCGTTTAAGATAACTTATTTCCCGGGTAACCTCAGTTCAGATGGAGGGCTAGCATCAAGTGGAAGTATTTGCACAGTCAAGGTGGAGGGTGAAAGATCACATGTCGATGGGGGCCAGTTGAACTGAGCCTTGAAGTGCTCAACCCATCGATCAAGTCGTAGATCGAATGACTCGCTGCAACGATCAGTTCACAGGAAGGTGACTCGGAAGGGCCAATGCACCTATTATCAGTCTTATATAGCTCATAGGAATTTCGTGCACTGCCTAACACATAAGCCTATCACCCGGAACGACTAGTTAATAAGATGAAGACCGAGGGAGATAAATCAGCATAGGTAACACAAAGGAAACTATTCTAAGCAGCAAAGCGCAATGTTTGGTCACGTTCAGGAGATTTGTTTACGACTGGATGACAAAATGCCTGATTCTGTGTGTATTTATTTACGTGAACACCACTCTGCATGGCTAAATACAAGAGAGATTAGGTCACTCGCCAGTACAGTGATTTCACACCTAGCTAAAACGAACCCAGTGAATGTGCTCGAGGCATTTTGACCCCTGTATGGGGTTCGCGATCGACTATCAAGGCAGATTCGACGTTGTATGCTTGCCACAGCGGAATCCGTAGGAACTCGTTGGTACATCTATGAGCCCAGAAACAATTTATGTAACCGCGTGAGCCCCCCGATCCACCCGATACGCAACCCATATTCCTAGAAGTCCGGACGATCGGATGACCTAGCAAACAATTGTGATCACTGAGAATCCCCGTATCTGGTCCGAAGACGAAATTAGTCCTAAATAACCTATGATCATATTCTTCGTTCTCTCAAACCCATCGTTTTATGATTAAGTTTTGATATACATGCACTGAGGTATTTATGTATTGCGATGTATTTGTCTTATTACGAATCAGTGAAAACGAACTAGTTCGTCACTGTGTTCTATTTGAAATGGAAGTTGTGGGACTGCTCAAACAATACCTAATTGACATTTGATTATTGTCATTATGGACGAATCTGCTTTATGCCAAGAGCAATCAACAATAATGTGTCACCTTTATTATACACATGTGCATGACACGTGTTTGGTGGTAGGCAGCTCTATTGTCGCCCGGTTCAATGACACGCCTAATCTAACGGGACCTTATGTGGTTCGCCACTCCCAGTCCTGGGGCTTAGGTTGCTGGTTTCCACCAGTGAACAGCAGATCTTCGGGATTAGCCCCGTCTGCTGCTCACCACACAGAGGTGTTTAATTAAAAAATAATGTATGGTTTGGGAAAACTTGAACTACGTGACAGCGGGGATCTGGTGATGATCAATGACCGCTAAAGTGAAGCATCACGTTGTGATCCATCGAGAGAGCTGTGCCGGAAGTTGGTACCTAGACAAGAACAACCGGTAGTCAGCGTCGAACTGAAGAAGTTGGTGGCTATTATTTGTCCGCTGGGTGAGCAGAGCAAAAAACACTTCCTAGATAGGCCTTTGAATAGATTATTTTTCTAGCATGCGCAGTTAAATCATTTGCCGGCAAAATTATATATAGAAGTTTCGGCTTAACCGGATGAGTTCGATGAGTTTAGTACAGAACTATTTTTCTGGGTATCGGTATTAGCAAAACACCCTATGGCATTTCTCCCTCTAAGAATACTATTTGAGCCTTGAAATCGAAACGCACACAAACGACTGTTGACGAGAATCCATTTTACAAGTGAGGATTCTGCTTCGTTGTTTATTACTATACTAGCCCTGTGCTGATCAACTGAACGGGCTTTGCTGTCTCCCGATGGGCGGGGAAAGTACCTCGATTAAGTTATTTGCTGGTACATTCTATTTGGCAATGAACTTTGGCAAGTGACAAACAAGTGGTCTGAGAGAATTTAATGAATCGCAAGGAGGGGCAAAGGAAGAGCGGGAGGGGGGATAGAACAAGTCGCATAACGAGTCAACAAGGGTTGGGTCGGTAGAAACAAAGTTGTTGATCATCGCTTAATTGAATAGCTCGATTCTCCAATCTATCGAGTCGAGAGTATCTGGTCACTGAGTTGCGGTAACCGTGACACAAAGATCATAATAACAAATTCAAAATTGCCAAATCCCGATCACTAGACACTTCTGTTCATGCGTGAGACAAGAAAATGTTAGAAAAATAACTGTGTACAAGAAAGTATCTGAATGTTCACGAGGTATGACTTATCGAGGGAATGGAACAGTCAGAAAGTAACCCAGGCCAGATGAAAATGCGAAAGCCATAGGAAAACATAAAAAACAAACACACGATGTAAGTGCTGAAAGTAGTTTACTGAACCAGGGTAAAGCAACAAACGAACACACATCCACCGATGGAACCATGGAAAAGGACCTGTTGGAACATTTAGCGGTCATTAGTTGGGTGGTGGATTAGTTGATTAGTTGATCGGTTCAATTAACTGATTGATTGATTGATTGATTGATTGATTGATTGATTGATTGATTGATTGATTGATTGATTATGGGGCACTAACCTGAGAATAGTAGGCGTGCACGCGATCACACCATACGAGCCAAAAGTGTTCCAAATCACTGGGACCGAGAACAATTCGATCGGCGGGAAAGCCATCCGCATAGGCGTAGACAAGCATACCGTGTTTTATCTGACTCGGAAAAGGACGTGGATCAAAGGAAAAATGAAAAAGAAACACTTGTGAGTGAAACTGTGAGGGTTTTACGACCATTTAGGCAAGCAGAAATGTATGAGGACAATAGCAAAACCAGAAATACTCGTTACGATAGCCTATTCAAATGATGCATAGGGAAAAGATGCGAATGTGTACTCTCGAAGAGCATCAGGCAAGTTTTAAAACCTGATTTTGATTATTCACAAAACCATTCAGGGTTATAGAAAGGCTTAGATGTATTTGAGTAGTGAAAAGATTGGAAGGGTACTGTGTGACTGCTAAATTTCAAGATCTTGGAGAAGCTGACAAATTGCAACTAACTCACACGATAGAACCAAAATGGGAATTCTATTCAACTGTTATTGGTCATATCCAGTGTGAGTCACTCACTCATTCCAGTTTGCGCTCACAATAACAAAACTTGCTCCAAACATTTCTTCGTGGTTCATGACCTCCGATCGCAGACCAACCACTGACCCGCGTATTGCGCAAATACGGATGATCAATAAGTTCAGTCAATCGCTTACAATGTTCCCTATATCAAGTCTTCGGTTTTTCGTATTGCTTAGAACTGCAATTTCCGCCCAGAGTCAGAGAGAGAGAGAGAAACACTACGAATCTCATCCGATTTCAGAACGTTCTCGATCAGAATATTTAAACTTAGGGATCGTATGATGTAATGGTCTAACAAATCCTCTAATCAATTACGTTAGAAATATAAGCACTTCTAAAAATCGTGAATAGAAGTGGAAATTCCGATGCGACTGAGTACTGAAGTGAGCTCAAACAAGCGAGAGAAAAAACAAACACTAAAATAAATATCTTCTGTTGTGTTGCCTGTTTGCCTAGACAATTGGTTTGCAAATGTTTCACCCTCGATGAAGGTGAAGTCTGTCGGTCTGTCCACGGATTGTGCATGTCACTGCTCAACTTGCGGAACAATTAAGGTAATGAATTGGATCGACAAAGAATAAGTTATACAAATGACCGCCCAGAAGCCCAGTGCCTCCATACAAACTAAGTGGACGCGGATCGAATCTAGTGCTGCGCAAACACTAACCTGACAAAAGCGGCGTAGAAATCACGATCACGAATGGACAAGGTGCCGTAAATGAGAGAAAGCATTATGTTTAAGATCGTTTAATGGAGCGTTGTAATCGAATAGACTCTCAAATCTTACAGCAAAATTTTGCGCAAAACAATCCTCTTCCAGTTTTTTGTTTAGTAACACAAGTAAAGGAATTATACTGCAATTGAAAAAAGAGTACATCAGTTACAAACGTTCACACATTTTCGGAAAAACAAGATAAAATCTAAGGGTTACTGATCACGTATATATTGAGTAAACTGTGACAAGTTTACGACATTGACGACAATGCACACAACCGCGATGAGTTTCTATAAATACTAAATAATTATTCCAACATCTAAATGGAAAACACACTATAACCCTGTGCGACTCACTTGTTTCGCCCCGGGAGGTCTGGTACAGTTGTACGCGCCGACGTAAGCGGCTACCTGAATAGGAGCATCATAGGTTCGTTCGATCGTGGTGACGCGACGAGATTCATGAACCGTTTTCCACTCGGTCAGAATGTGATCACTGTCCGGGCTGGTAAAAAAAAATGGAGAACAGGAGGAGAGGATATTGTCAATCAATGCTGAACAGCATAGCCCGATAGATGATACGGGTGAATGCAACGGAACATGTGTTGAGGTGTCGCAGTTTCAGTCACCGTCGCTTTGATAACCTAGTGAGATGTCAAAATTGCCAATAAATAAGAGAACATGACCAGAGTTAATAGTGTTATCAGTCAGCGAAAAGAACTGATTTACCTCGATTGGTATACCAATCACTCCTTAGGATAAAAAGCGCGCGCTTGGGGATTCTGTCAATAAAAAGCACTTCTCAAGCTAACATTTCGTGTAGCTATCAGCGAGGTACGACTTTGAACGCCGCCAATATAATCTAACTTTGGATACGCTGTGACCTATTTGGGCCTGAGTTCAGACTGTGTGCCAAACAAATCACGGTAAAATAATCTTAATATAAAGCAAAAAGGTCCATGAGCTGGAGCCTGGGTATACGATTCTCATGAGTTATAGCACATCGCGGTCATCCAGCTGTGTATTATTGTTCGGCTTGATAATAACTTTATGTTTAACCTAGTAAATATAGTCCACTCTCATCGTCGATAACCCCATTATTATACCGAATACATATGGTAATGTGGGCGAGGACAAGATATTTTATTTTATGGATCTATCGCTGAAATCAACCATGCCAATCCCGAGAGCAAAACCTGCTCGTCATATAACGATGATAGATGAGTGAATACACGTCTGAGAAAAAAAAACAGATAAATCTTTGAGCAGAACATCGATTTTTATATGCTCCTGAGTGCCGTTTCGACAGTGTGAACATATCACTCGATGGACTAGAAAGTGATGTCGGAAAACTCAACAACAACATAGAGCAGCACCGCGTAAGATAACCTATCCAGAATCGTCGTATAGAGATTTTGCTTCGAAAATCTGGTTCCTACACGATACATTTTCTGTTCCAGATGCTTTTATTGCTTGCCATAGCACATCGGATCGCTGAAAATTCATCCGTTTCTCGTGCACTGATTTGGGTGGAATTGGCTGGATAAAACGAACCAATCAATCACAACAGTCGTTTGGCGCAGGCTAAGTTTAACACTTATTCACGCTGCAAAATGGGCCTCTGTTTTGGCTTTAGTCATTGGTGAGCTGCACACAAACGTGATATACAGGAACTTCGCCAAAATTACAACTAGGTGCTCGATCGCTAAAACAATAAAATCAGAGCGGGACATACCATGAAGGAAGTAAACATTTGGCCCAAGACAGAGACTGTGGTAGCTAGGGTGAATCGGTGCCGTTAGTTTGAAAGAGGAAAAAACTTGAGTTGTTTGAAATGACTTTATCCCTTGAAGTGAATTATTGAGCGGATTGTCAGACCAAATGAGTGCAGCTTGGACTGATCCATGATTACAGAGCCAATAACTAAAACTGAATCAACAACAGAAAAAATAATGGAGGGAATAAACGCATCACAAAACGAACTCATGTTCAGTTGTAAGCAAAAGGATTGAGAATCATCAGACGACAAGAGTAATGTGGTTATATATGGTAATATGGTTATGAAACTCGCTGTTCCGTGCGTACCTCATCGCATACTGCGCATCCTTGAAGTTATTGTAGGTTCTTCTAGTTCGTTGTGTAGTTTTGTTCACATTTCCCCAGGATAACACCTCTTCTTTCTTGACAAAAGTAAAGGTTTCAATACTCAAAGCTCAAGTGCAAAAACGAGCAATCTTCTTAAACATATGGTAGACGGGTTCCGTGGATCACTTTAATCCAGGAGTCGCATTTGAGGCTACATGACCCAATACATTGATTTTAAACGGCAGATCTAGATTGAGTACCACCGATGAAATTTGACGCCAGTAACCTGGCTATAATTTTATAATCTCAACCCTGGGTGGCTACTGAGGTTGTGTGGATGCAACTTTGTCACTTCTCCATCAGATTGGGTGTTAAAGTTAGTGTTCAACGATCCGCAAGATTCAAACTTCCGGGGACCTCAGTATAATCGGAGGTGACTGGTTCGGGTAGTGGCTGATCATTCCTCCTATGCACATCGCGAAACGCCACCATACAACCAATCGTCTCAAACAGCCTCTGTTGAGGAAGACCTACTCACTGTCTTTTCGTGGCAGTGTTTTCCCACCACAGTGGGAGAACGAAAAGCCAACATCTGGAGCCATAATCGAGTCGGTGAACTACTGGCGATCCAGACATTATCTATACACTCAAGTTGCTGTTTTCGCTATCCGTTCGGTTTATTATCTATTATTATTATTATTTACACCAATCTTTACAGATACGGCGCCAAAGATAACCATGGATGGACGAAAAACATAGGTAAAAAACGGGGATAAGAAAACAGTCAACTTCGAGGAGTAACAATATTCTTTTGTTTGCTCACTGCACGCCATTTTGAGTTCTTTTCGTTTTTATTTATTTGTGAGATTGTAGACAAGAGGTGATGTATTCGCGCCACTGACTTCGGTTTGATGCTATATCTCGCAGTGTCTCCAGCCAAAGACGATCTGAATCTTTGGGGCCCCAGCCGGGGAGCCGAGAAACCCCAACGGAAGCCAGATCCGAGCACAATCTCTTTAACCCTCTGCGCCACGTCATAGCCTGCCCACCTCGTTGTTTCTTCCAGCCTGGACCGATGTCTGCGAGTAGTGCACCGTGTGGCAGACGGTGCTCAGGCATTCGTAGAACGTACCCTGGCCACCTAGGACGATGCTGTGAAATTGTTTTGCCCAAAGGAAGACTATCTGATCCTAGCACCCGTCGTCTGACTTTATCGTTATTCACACGATGCTCCCACCATACGCGGGCGTTGTTGCGCAGACAACGGTTGTCGAAGACTGATAGCTTGTGGATGTGATCTGCTCAGAGGCCAGGTCTCGCAGCCATAGAGCAACACGGTGCGTAACGTTGCGCAATACACACGCTCTTTCAATGAAAGGGATATGTCGCGCTGGCGCCAGAGATGCCGCAGAATAGCAAACGCTAATCTAGCTTTGATCACGCGTTAAGAGATCTCCTCGACCACACCTCCGCCAGCCGTTATGCAACTCCCAAGGTAGACAGAGCTTTCGACTACTTCCAGAGTGTCATTATCCAATGAAAGTGCAAGGATGGGTTCCTGCCAGTCTTGCAACAACACTGCACTTTGAAGGNGCCAATCTTGCAACAACACTTTGCACTTTGAAGGTGCAAATGACATACCATAGCGAGTAACCTCAATTGCCAAACGGTTGAACGATAATTGAATCGTTGGTGCGTTGTCACCCAGTAAGGCAATATCATCGGCGTACTCTAAGTTTACGACTCTGTCCCCGAGAAGAAGCTCGACACCATCGTTCGCTGCGTTGTGTAACACATGTTGTAGGACATCATCTATGGCAAAATTGAAGAGAAACGGAGAGATAGGGTAACTCTGTAGTACCTCACTGGTGACAGGAAATGAGGGTGAAAATTCACCATAGGCCCTAACCTTCCCCGAGGTCTGATAATAGGGCTATTTTAGGAGTGAGACATACTTCTCGGGTACTCCGTAT